GAAGGGGAGTGCATTTGACTTCTCAATCTGACACGCAATTGCATGTCAGAAAGCTGACTTACAATGCTTCTTCCATGCGATTATATTGTTCTCTCTTATACTTGTACAGTTATGAACAGGAGATCAAACTTCATGATCTGCATTGTTGTTGTACACTTGTACAGCTGTACAACTGTACAACTGATGATTGATAGTCTGAGGCTCTCACCGAGTACGACGTCCGACCTCGTACTCGTCCTGCCTGCCCCAGTTGTCCGAGGAATTCTCTCCTCCGCCCCTCTCTGGATAAGCCCCCGCGCCGTTCCACTTCTCTTTGAGGGTGTGCACCGAAGAATAGCATCGATGGCACGACGGTACCAAGTTATGCATGTCCACGTTCATGCGAAGGTGACCCTTCACGAGCACTGCCGTCACCATCCGCAGGAGAAGGTAGCAGGCTCTCGTGCGGAACTGCGTCCTCCCACACCCCAGGCCTTCCCGCCGCGTCGCAGCCGATAGATGGTATTTACGGGATATCTCCGGTATGTGACGCACTCCTCCGCTTGATGGCAGTGGACTAGACTGGACTCGTCTCGGTCCTGCGGCATCGGCACTCGCAATAACGTCCACCCGTTGACGTCCACCCCCTCGACTTGACTCCCACCCGTCGGCGTCTGCCCCCTCGACTTGACTCCCACCCGTCGGCGTCTGCCCCCTCGACTTGACTCCCGGCCCTCAATATATCGCTGTCGTGATTCCCATGCACTGCACTGCACACACATGTGTCAGGCGCATCCAGCGCCAAAGTGCACCCCGACTCGCCCTCCTCGCCCTTTCGCCGTTGCAAAATTGCATCCCTCCTCTCCGACATGTCCAGCTTCTCCCCTCCCCTTCGTGCCGCTCCCTCCTCTCTCCTCTCCCTTCCCCGTTCCCCAAATACCCCTCACACGCTGCTGCCCACCCTGCTCTGTCGACACTCACCACTTGCGTGCAGCCCCCGCCCTCCACGTCCCAAACTCGTATCGCCTTCAAGTCCGATGACACAACCCATGTCCCGTCTTCATTCATTGACACACGCCCCACCTGTCCCGAGTGTCCCGATAGAGCCTGGCATGTGGCTCAGGACCCACATGCCCACCACTCTCCAAGTCCCATACGCGAGCCGTTGTATCAAACGATCCAGACACTGCCCGGTGTCCATCTGCGCTCATCGCAACACTCCACACCACACTCGTGTTCCATCCCGCTCTCCACGTCCCACGCCCGCACCGTCTTGTCTTCTGAGCCCGAGGCTGCATACCTGTCGTTCGCGCTGAGCGTTTCGCAATTTATATAACGGGAATGCCCGACCATTGCTTTCCTCACTTGCCGTCCGCTTTCCACGTCCCACCTACACACAGTCTTGTCATATGACCCAGAAACTCCTCGGCTTCTGTCCTCATTCATCGCAACACTCCGCACCCAGTCGTCATGGCCCGGTAGCACCTCTGTTATCTTTCCCATCTCTCCCAGGTCCCACACCCGCATCCTGCCGTTCCGCCAACCCGAAATCGCTCTCTTACCGTCTTCGCTCACTCCCAAACGCATCACACCTCATTTTGTTCTACCCATCCCCTCTCCAACTTGCTGTCCCGTCTCCACATCCATCCTTCGTATAGATCCATCGCCCCATCCTGCCACCGCCGTTTTCCCATCCCCACTCATCCCAACCCTCTCCACTTGCGCAACGTTCCCATCCATCCCATTTTCCAATTCCTTCTGCGTCCTCGTGTTCTACAACTTCACCGTGCTGTCCGCACCTCCCGATACGAAACGCCTCCCATCTTCACTCATCGCAACGCTCGAGACACGTCCTTTGTGCCCCGTGACCCGACCGATTCACCTTCCCTTTTCTGCCTCCCCCAACTCCAAGTGCTCATTTGCATAACCAGAGTGCCTGGGCACTGCTGATTCCACGCTTTAAGCACCCTGTCACTATGTATCCCGGACAGAGCTCATGTCCCGTCGGCATTCATTATGACCTTGACCGGATGTGCCCAGTCGTGAATAGGGTCGCCGAGTTGTTTCCCCGTCTCCGGGTCCCGAATGAGCGTCTCCCTGCGCGACGCCGACATGGCTCGTCTCCCGTCTTCACTCATTGCCACGCTGTACACCAAAAAGCGTGTGCGCACGCATCGTTGGCCCCAATATGCGACCCCGTCTGCGCGTCCCACAGCCGCACTGTATCATCGCACGATCCTGATAAAAGCCGACTGCCGTCGCGATTCATCGCCACGCTGACCATCGCCACACGCTGACCATCACCACGCTGAACACCGTCATGATGAACATCGTCATGCTGAACATCGCCACGCTGAACACTCCCAACTCGTGCGCGATGATTGGCTACTCAACGGTCCAATAGATCTATTGGACACTACAGAGAGGACTCGCGCAATGTGATTCCACACAGACAAAGACTCAAATAAGGCATAGCCTTATTTATAGACGTACGATAGGACATAGAGTTGGTAAATATACCGGCGCCGGCGGCCCCCCGCGGTCAGGGGGACCCCGGCATCCGGATCTCTTGGTTCACACGCAATAATGCCGAATTGAGAAATTCCACGAGTGATTTGGCGTGCTATGAGTGGCTCCTACGTTTTAATTTATGTGTTTAAGAAAAGCAAGGGCTTTTAAGAAGCATTTAAAAGTATTCCTGGCAAAACTGGGCAAGGCAAAGCAAAAACCCACCTGTTAAGACACGCCCTCAGGGCGGGTCTTAACAGGCGGGTTTCTCGGTGAACACAGGTCCTCATGCCTTGCATTGCTGTTAGACAGCTGTCCAAGACAGGGATCAAGTCGACACAGCCGATGACGCCCAACAATAATAAACGGATCAACATTTCCGACATACAGTAGCGAGGATGCAGTTCGTCATTTGCACCGTGCAAAACGCGCGTTGCTGACTTGCACACGCTGGGCAGAGTCGTTCCAAGAGGCGCCAGACGCTTGTAAATGAGTATTTTGTGTGACCCCATTCATTAGTGCAAGATGGGAGTATTGCATGCTGCTGGAACCTTGCATGGGGGGTGCACTACTCGATGTTGTCCACCGGCTGAGGAGACATACGCACCGTGCCAGCGGGGACAAACGGGGGCAAACTCAAAAGGGCTTGGTGGGGTTGAGCGCAGTGCAAAAATTGCGGATGTCTGGCACTATTGCCGAAAATGTCTGCACCACAGGACAAAGAGAAAAAACAGAAAATAAACAACCCAAGTTTGTGAAAGTTATGATCGTCTTTACAAAAGATTGGAGAAAACACAACAATACCGTCAAGAAGTTACCGCACCGGTACCTTATTTGCGTTTTTGTTTCTTTGCCGCAGACAATAATCAATCCAACAAATTTACTCGAACCCACTGTAATTAGCATGGCTGACAGTTGCGGTAGCAGCCGGTACAACCCCTACCCCTACAACTTGTACTTGTCGTCCTGGCTACTTCGCGCAGACACGCTGCCTCGTGTCTGCGATATGTCTGCACGTCTGCACTCGGAGCGTGTCTGCACTCGTGTCTGCACTCGTAGCCAGTAGACAACCCCTACAGGTAAATTACATGTTGACAATACTACTATTGTAAAAAGGGGGGTGCTCTAGACATCGGACAAAAACGTCAATATTAAAAGGAAAAAGTACTTGTAATTGTCAAGCAATGACCATTTTTAATCGTTTGCGACGGGGACAGTCTCCTGTGTCGATCTGGTCCCGAGACAAGTAAAAGAGAGTTAGAGAAAGGTTACTCGGGCTACCAGATCGCGCTCACCATTATAGATCCCAGCTAACGCCGAGACCACGTAGTGGTCATTACATAGTTTCGTCCGACACCGCCCTCCATCGTCACACCCATTAGGCCCTGCGGCTGCTGTGGCGGCAGGGGCCGCCAGCGCCGGGACCTCGGCCGAACGCCGAGAGGCCAGCAAAGTAGAGAACGACTCTTGACTTTGCTATATTCCGACAACCCGGAGGGCGCGAGGCCACAGAGCGCCCGTCGCCGCCGACCTAAATAATGCACAGGAGTGCCAACCGCAGTTCAGTATCAGTCTGCCGTCTGTCCGCGGCGGCGAATAAATATAAGGCTCAAGTCCGGGGTCCCTCTGACTCCCTGGGGGTATCCGCTACTCACTCTCCTCTCGCCGCTCCTATCCTCTCGAGACGATCCTTCTTGTTCACAACCATTTACCATAACACCCGGACCCCAAACCAACACCCAACAAAGTCTCGCTTTCAAGTTATTCACTCTCCCCCTCAACCCGTATCAAGCGGGCCCGAGCTCACGACGCAGGCGCTGAACCACTTAGTGTCTCATGCCGCCACACCCGCACACCGACCCGACTTTGATCTGTCCAAGATCCGGGGTTTCGTTGTCAAGTGTGTTTGACGTCAAAACTGACAAGTGCAAGAGGTGTGGACATCACCCGAACCACCACATCATTCGGAAGTGTGACAGGAATGCATGCATTCAGAAAAGGATGGTTGCATTCTGCACAGGCTGTACCCGTAACTGCTTGACATGCAATCAATGCCGCAACCCGTTGGTCCGCTCGAGGCTCACGTAATAGTTCTCAAAACTTCTCTCCTTCCCTCCAGACTGATAAGCAAAGGGCCGCCAAACGTGAAAAGTAGCACGCGATCAAGTAGTGTCTGTCTTGGAATGTGCAATCTGCACCTTACCCCTCAATAAAAATCACTTTTGTCTTTCGAAGATGTGCACCCTGGCCACGGGCTTAATTTGTGTTGAATTCCACTGTTGTTCGACTCGAACGACTTCAGCAGACAGGGGAATCAATTTAGCAATGTCAATCGGTAGAAAGATTACATCCCCAAGGTGATGTAGATATTGCAACAATCCGTAAGTTTTAACGTGTGGCAGATGTCAGTGTGTATGTCAGTGAGCCAGATGAGTGCACGAATCGTTCAACTGTTGTACTCCCTACCCCCAAAGCCGCATCACACCAAACCTTGTACACAACGCGGGGATTGCTCATTTGAACAAGATTTTGTCCTGTATATGCGGATGCATTCTCATCACAGCCTCACCAAACGCTTCTGACCATTCCGAATGTAATGCTGGTCGCTCGGTGTTGTTAGCTCGTGCGATTCCGTGAAGCTTCAGGAGCCATCCCAGTCGGTGCGCGATCTCGTACAGTTCCTCACATCGCTCCACTGGCTCGTATTCCCTCCACATCTCTAGATAGCACCGCCTCTCTTCTTCAGAGATGTCTTGCTCCTCGTGTATTTCTTGCAAGTCAAAGAATGGGTGTGATATTGCAGCGAATTGCCAATCAAATACAACAAGCTGTTGCGACCCGTCTCGTCCTCTCTTCATACCTAGGTTCCGACTGGCAAAATCCCCATGTGTGAGAGTAAGCGGTATGTTGTATTCCTGCAATCGTTCAATCTCTGCTTTCAGTTCCGGTGCCAATTCAGCATATAGCTCCATGAGGTATGTGTTACCTTCAATTAGATCTTCGTCCACAGTCCAAGAATCCACTGCATTGCACAGTTCTCGCGGCCCAAGAACCTGGAATCCCCCGGCTTTGAGCTTCTCTAAATGATGCAACGAGTCCAACTGAAGTCTTCCTAAAAATCTCAGGCATTCCTTCTTGGTAATGCTCTCATCGCAATCTTTCAAAACATTCAACTCCCTCGAAATCACGCTTTGTAGTTCATTCGATACGGAAACCACGTCTAACGTTCGATCCGGCATCACTTTGCTAGCACATGCTGTCATATCCATCTCTCCGGATCCCGGATCCGTACCTTTAAGATAATACTTACCAATGTTTGTTTCCACCGTCAAAATGGTGCATGCGGGGTCGAATCGGTATTGTCTGAATTCACCGCCTACCTCGCCTCCATCCGATGCGATGACAGCTTTCATCCACGTTAAAGCCTTCTCATGCCAGCCATACCGAAACCGCGGCTGCCACAAAGTTGTCATGCTTGTGAGATCTTTCTCCAGAAATTTTGTGATTCTCTTTACAATTTTCGGACCGCAGACGTCCACATCCGAGTCCGTGTCGCGAGAAAAGGAGCTATCATGCGCTCGAAGGAACTCGACATCCTGCCATTCCCAACCGCATGGCAGCTCCGGAATCTCTTGCAAGTTTTCCAACAGCAGCATTTTGGACGGTCGTATACGGCGCTCCTTCTCAACAGTCTCAGGAAAGTACGCGCAGAAATCGCCAAGCAGTTCGGCCATCACAACAAAACCCTGCACGGACTCATCTATACCAAAAATCTCTTGAACAGAAGAAGTGATGGATCGCACGTCTGAATGACAGGAGTCTTCACGGATGAAGTACGGCAAGTCCCACTCGCCACCCTCCACACGCATCAAGAAGCGTTGTTTGTCCGGTTGACATATCAAAACACGATAGATTGTTCTTCGCCAGGACATTAGCGTGCTTCTCGTCGAAAACACCACAGAGACTTTACCGCCGCAAATCCATGCTCGTCACAGACACCGCCGTGTTAGCAAAGCAGAGTTCCGCTACATAGCTACTGTACTCCCAATGCGTGATTGGACGTCCTCGTGGTTTTCAAATTTCAAAATATTCATGAAATTACAGTACATGGGGGACGCGCAATAGTGCCGTTTTTGTCACTGCCACCCTCGGATTAGTGCCGCTCAAGATTAGCAGAACTCGGGTCGTGCCACATGTCACAGACGACGTAGTCATCTCCTTCTCTGGCAAGGTTGTGTGGATCTTTGCAGAGTCTGGATGTGGAGTGCGATGTGAGCAATGCTTTATCACATTTGAGGTCTGCGAAAAGAGCCTTTTTGGAAGCTAGGCATGAGAGGGAAGGTCGGAAACAGGGGGGGGGGGTAATTTTATCAATGCATCAGGGGTGCGCTTACAGATACAATAGCGGATAGGAAGCTGAGTTACACTTCGATCGGATATGAGATGTCCGCGACGTGTGTCGGTAGGCGAGAAAGGATCGCAGCAGCGACAGTGGACCAGATGGCGAAGCTCAGGCGTTGGTGGATGCGGGCTTGAGCGGAGGCAATGGTGCAAGAGCTCCGAAGTGCTATTAGCTTCGCGTGTTCATGGATGACATGCAGTGTAGACTGTGAGGGGGCGCCTAGAGTGTCAAACGAGAGTGGCTGAAAGTGCCAGTCTAGGGGTGGCGGAGGATGGTGATCGTCAATGAGCAGGGTGGATCCAATAGTCCGCTCGAGGGCCTGACGCTTGCGAACGTCAGCTGCTTCTGCAGCTCCTGCAGATTGGCGGGCAGCGGGATACATCATGCCCCTGCGGAATGGACTGCAGATTGTGACGTCGTAGGCCGTAGGTTTGTCACAAGGGAGCCCTGGGCCAGGGGGGACGGTTGAACGAGGATATCGGCCGGTCGTGCAGTAGAGTTTGATAACAGGAAAGGGACCTCGAGAGAATATGCAAGTCCAGCCCCACGGAACACGTGTCGTGCGAAGACATTTCGGACGGTATTGTGTCTGTGGACAAGTCCGAAGCCATGGCTACAGATGGTCGCGTGATCCTCTCGAGGGTCGAGTGGCTTGGAACAATGTGCGCAGCGCAACGGCGAGATAGAATCGAATGTGATACGAGCGTCCAGATGACGACGTAGCATGGTTGACCAGGTGGCGTTATGAATGCGGGAGGTGGCAGCTGGGTGGGCAGTGAGGAAATATGTCGCGCCAGGAGCGAGGAGAGAGCGAAACCGTACCCTCCGACGAATTGAAGCTGCACTGTGCTGACGAGGGTCGGGAGAAGATTACCAAAGGGGTTTCTCCCAGAACCGGCTGGCCGCTGCGCTATGCTGCGCCTGAATTAAAAAGGTATGTATGAGTTCAGGACGCGCTAGAAGTGCGGTAGGTTCAAGGCAGCCAAGATCCGAGGATGTAAGGGAGAAGTGAGGTGGTTGTACGGAAGGAGGTAAATTGCCGAGAACCACCCTCAAGGATGTTCGTGCAAAGCGCTGGTATTGCCTGAGGTTGGGAAACTGGGGCCCCTTTAGTCGTACCGGGGCGGAGTCGATGAGACTTGCAGCGTAAGAGGCGTGTGAAGTATTGGCCAATGATGTGAGGCCATGTCCCCCATGAACGAACGGCAATCGGACTTGAGCAGCCAGGCTCGGTGAAAGAGTAACACTATTGAAGCGCTCGTATGCCTTCAGCTGATCTCTATCAAATTGCTGTGCGAACGAAAAGGCGAAGGTCGGGGGTACCAGCCGGAACAGATGCTGCATGCGACAGGCGGAAGCGGAGACCCGGTGTAAGTGAAAGCGTATGCGGCCTCTGGGATGTGATCCAGGTGGGCGAGGGCGGAATTGCAGTTTTGCAGTTTGCGGGTGATGTACTGCGTCATGAACGAGTCAGACCCAATAGGGGCCCCGAGGAGTTCCAACCCGCCGTCTTCGATGACGTGCAAAGGGGCAACAGTGGTGAGGGGAAGCAGGAGGTCTGGGGAGAGGCTGGGCCAAAAGACACGTGTCTTAGCTGGGTTGAGGAAGAACTGGTGGGTTGGTCCTTCTGTGTTGAGGATTTTAAGAGCTTTGGCAACTTCATCGATACGGCCGATGATGGTACCGTCATCTGCATACCAGCGGTTCATAAGAACGTCACATTCGTGCGAGATGCGGCGGGCGAGAGGCTGAAGAGCGAGAGAGATGAGGAGCATGCTCGCAGGGTCTCCCTGTTGCGACCCTTCTCCACTGACTAGCATGGTGGGCGGGGACGAGGGCAGTATCAGGGGGGAGGGGTGCGTGCATAAACCATGTCAAGAAAGCGGGACAGGGAGGGTGCTCTGGTTGGGAGCTGGTCCAGCACTTTCTGGCGGGAGAACGGTTGAAGGCATTAGAGGCGTCAATTGACACCATGACGTCGTGTGGGTCCCTTCCATGCCGACGAAGTAGCATCCGGGCGTCGTGCGATAGCGTCCATGCCGTTCGGAACACCATTGGCTAATTGTTCAGGGGCGAAGTGGTCACAGCAATCCTCTATTGCGGCTGGGAGGAGGACTTTCGTGACGAGTCGACGGATGCTTTGTCCAATTGCAATTGGGCAAATTTTGGCCGGGCGTGGCTGTAGGGGCAGCAGAGTTGCGGCACTGACAAGGGGGATGGTGCAGGGCGGAAGGGAACCACGGGCCAGGCGGCTGACGAGATTTGTGAGCGCGGAGATGCCGGTCACTCCTGCTTCAGGACTAATTTGTCTGTGGGCAAGGAGGTGCAGGAGCTTGGGCGACATGCGGTCTGGACCGGCGGCTGAGTTGGGATTGAGGCGCCTGACGGCACGGAGAACGGATTGCTCCGAGACCTCTGGCGGCCGTGGTTGTGCGGAGGGCGGCAGAGGCATGACGGGGACAGGAGGGTTGGGGTGAAGGGCTTGCAGTGCTGCCACCGTGGCCGTGTCGTTGACGTTGGCGAGAGGAGGGTTGGTGAACGTGCGCATCGCCCGCCCGTACTGGGCTTGGGAGGCTAGCCGCATGGCGCGGGCGGCTCGCGCGGCGCGAGAGCTGTGGGGCGAAGGGAGATTGGAGTGTGTGTGCTGCCATGCCCGCCGTGCTTCGTGAGCATGAAGGGCTTCTCGCCACAAGGTACCCCATTCGCGACCTGTGCTTGCCCTACGTAGGCGGAGACGGAGGGCGTGCATTTGACCGCGCGAGGAACGCCATCCGGGCTCTCCACGGAAAGCTTTTCGGAGCACAACAGTAGGCAGCATGTGAAGGCGCATAAATGCTTGATGAGTGGCGTCGGGGGTGTTAGCTGCTGTGGCAGCGCGCACGAGGCGAATTAGAAGTAGAACCGTGCTATGCAGGCAAGGGCCAGGGATAGAAGTGAAAATGTCCGAGGGCCGAATCGGGGTCGAAAGGAGTTCGTGGACCGACGGCAAGGGGAGGGGTGAGGCGTCCGGGAGGGGGAATGGTCGGTTTTCAGGGGAGGGCGAGAATGTGTCTGTCATGGATGGTGGAAGGGAAGCGCTGTGAGAGGGGGCCAAGGGGTCGGCGGTGGGGCTATCTG